AATTTTAAAGAATGCATTTATTCTATTGTGGTTTATGCGCTGTCGGCGAAGTAGATTTAATGCAATCCAATAAGTTTAAATGAAATGCAAGAAAAATGCGTATAATTTAATATTCCGTACAAGGAAGTCATGTGGTGTACACATTAGATTTTTTGTATAGAAAATACTGAGTTTTATTTTACACTCAAATCCGAAATCAGTTTCTTGCCAACTAGGTGTTTTATTACATTCTTCCCTGCATTTCTCTGAAAACTTATAAAAAACGTAATACTAAACCTACTGAAAATAAATTCGTTACTCTAGTACGCTATTTACAGCTGATGTGGCAATATAATCAGGGATCTTATTTTTCGTATTCTGACGTCATATGTGAAATACTGAAAAGAGCTCAAAGAAGCGGTAGCCCAGAAGAAATATTCAAAACGATATTTTGTGGAGTTTCACTATAAACGGCGAATCACTTTTTAAATTATTGCCACTAAATATTATCACCTCGTATATTTAAAGAAATTAAATAATGAAGAATCTGCATGAATGTATGCATGTTTCTCGCATTGTGAAAAGACGACGGTATCTAGAGCCATCAAATTTCGAATAACGTAATACTTCTCCGAATATAGGCATCTGGAAACCCGAATTTTGAATTTGTTATTTATTTCATATTTTGTGAAACTTTAACGAATTTTTAATTAAGAAACTCAAGTATTTCAAAACGAGCATTGGCAACACTGTGCGGTATAAAACACATTTTTATCTCCATCGCGCGAGCCTGTGTATCGGAAACTCTAAAGACATGCTGCTTATAAATACTTTTGTGATACTGCTGTTGAATTGAATTTTATGTGGTTTTCAGTGAGAAGAATATGATATTTAATAAATAAAGGCAACACACAAAACGTTAAAAAAGTCCCTTTGGCCATAATATAAAATCTGAAAGCTTTCGGATTTTATTTTATGTGTCGCTTTATTTATTTATTTTCCAGGGAAATTAAATGCGAGTGACATTGCCATTAAGTAACCCGGAATTCAAAGAGCTTCAGTTTGAAACAATGCTACATTTCATTGTTTGATAACTTCAGTGCTGTCTTGTTTGGATCACACCATAAAACTTAAATACGTGTTTTAAATCGGTAGGAAGTAACTGAAAAGATTGTGGCCTTATGGCCTAGAAATTCCGGAGAAGAAAATCATGAGAATTTGACACACGGTGAATTGGTGTTTACCCTGCCATTTGTATTATTCTTTGTTAAACAATAGGAAAACAATATCCAGTAACCATTGTATAAATGACAACACGAAAATAAGGAAGTAATGTGATTCTCTCGGCCTCCCTAGTAAGCAAAAGATCATTATTAGGTGTCACGGTGAGTAAAAATACTTGTAGTGAAAGGACATTAGTTTTTCTGTTGCTTTCCAAAGATTTTTTTTACGTCGAAAGACATATTCTGTATGATTTAGAGTACACTGAAGAATGTTTTGCAAGAGGCTATTTATCTTTCACAAGTACGAATAAGATTTATCAAATTCGTACCTTCAGAGCTTTGAATAAGATTCATATTACGGTGTAATCACAATTACACAACGTAATTTATATCACAGTATAATAATTTATGGCACAGATTTATACCACATTAAGATTTTTATGACATAAGCTCTATTTGTAGATTTTTGGATGGTTACTTACATTCGTTTTTAATGGTAATGATAATAATGTAAATCATTAAAATCTTAAACTTTCCCTTCTCATTCTTGTGCAAAATCAAAGGAAGTATTGTAATCACGAAAAATTCCGGGTGTCATATTTCAACAGAAATATCCTTTTTGAACATTCCAAAATCCATCTGAATAAGTTTTTTCTTTGTATGCTTGTTTGACGTTTGTACGTATGCACGGAATAAAGAACTCTTTTTTCCCAGTACGGATTTAAAACGGATTCAAAATTGATTGTTCGTGACTTCTGTACGTACGTATGTACTTATGTATCTCGTATTATAAGGTATTTTTCCCGCCTTCTTAGCATGCCTTCAGGGTGTAGTGCTCAGCACACTCGGCGCGTATTGAAGACCTCCACGGTTTGAGTCCTGGTAAAGGCATTCGTCATTTTCCAGCTCTTCTGCTTCGAAATAACCTAATAGCTCTTGTTATGAAGAAGAATGTTTCGACCAATGTTTATATCTGAAATTCCTATATTGTTAAATGTTAAATATGAAACTACTTTCCGTTAAAGGTAGTAATCGTATAGTGAAGCGTGTACAGCATTTTTGCGTTGTGAAAAAAATGCATTCCGGGACCGCGCCGTGAGAGGATCGAAAACATAAAACATATACAAGATATAAAGGAAAAGTTCATATTAAATATATAAAGAAAACATACTGTAAGAGGTTCCAGATTAAATATCAGTTTATTCAATTACAACACAATAAGAAAAATCTTAACCTCATCTGAGAGTCTGTTCATTTAAATTCATAAAAAAACTTGAGGTTTGTCTGGTGATTTAAAAGAAAGGAAAGGGAACCAATTTAAGGCCTGAGAGTTAAATTTTAGATTTGACGTTGTTTTTTTTTTTACTGCTAAGGACGCTTTTGAAAAGCTTGCCTAAAGTTCAAAACACACAAAAAAAAAAAAAAAAAAAAAAAAAAATAAAAACTTATCTTGAAGCGGAGGACTCTTATCTTATCCCGCGTTGATGTCGGCCGGGCTCATCTTGACACTGGTTCTAAAAATGTAGACTCCACTTCACTACCGTAGAACAGAAACAGGAGCACTGCTGCCCAGGACGGCTATCCGCTTGGTCCTGAAAGTCCTATGTCAACACGCAGGTAACTCGTTCAAATTTCGCCGGTCAGAAACGTTGTTGCTAGGAAATTACTGCTCGCCTGTTCTTACTCATCCCAAGAGCAAGCTTCACGGGTAACGTCCCAAGTAAGTTCCACCCACCAGTCAGTAAGGGAGAGAATCCAACTCCAATTTTCTTCAAGCCAGTTTTCAAGAGCCACGTCCACAAGTCCAGCAAACCAGTAAGTGAGTCCAGAGAAAGTGTGTATCCAACTCGAATTTCCTTCGTCTCCTTCACCAAAACGGGCTCCCACTATGGCTTCACTTATCGCCCCCTTAATTATGGCAAAATCTTCGTTTTCAACTCCAGAATGCGGAAATAAGGGTGATCGCGCATGCGCGCCCTTCTTCACTTAGCCAACAACCGGACCCTCAATCGCCAAAAACCTGAATGACTTACATTGAAAGACAAGTAGCAGCCTTTGACCTTTCCGTCACGTACTTTCCTCTCTTAAGGTCAACTAACAATGAAAATTCTTTCTCGAACATTCTAAAGCGCGCGAAATCATGACTTGGCGAAAATTGCCTCCCTTTCCCTGCTTCTTTCACAATGAATAAAAGTTTGTACAAGATTGCCAAATAAAAGAAAATAAATAATATTCATTTATACTAAATAATATTTCCCGAAGCATCTGTTTCTCCCCAAAATTAAAGCCTTAAATTAAATAATTCAGAATCAAAATAAAATTTAAATTTCCATAAATCATAAAATCATTCACCTAATTTTTACAACGCTATCAGATAATTTTCTCTACATAATACTCTATAGTGGTGCTCGAATTAAAAAAAAAGTAGTGGATGATGATTCTCCATCACTGGGATTTGGCGATTGGGTCCCCTAATCGTCCTTTAAAAGCGAAAGTTTATAAGGTATTTCTCTCTTAGCATGCCTTCGTGGTGTAGTGGTCAGCACACTCGGCGCGTATTTGAGAGGTCCGTGGTTCGAGTCCCGGTGAGGGAATTGCTCATTTTTCGTCTCTCCTGCTTCGAAATAACGTAATAGCTCTACAGTATAACTCAAAAACGATTACCCGTGGAACGCTGAAATTTTGTATTTGGGATAGATATCACATATAGTTTTGTGCTTCCCTTTTTCATTGCAATACAGTTATATACATATTTATAGCAAACATATGCCGAGTAAGATGTTGGGTAAGAGAAATTTCAATTAGTTTCGAAGTTCCTGCCCCCTGATGAAGTGGCACTGAGATTGATTGAATTCCTCTTCTGTTTTTGTTCATTTTTCTTTAAATTTCATGGTTTTTGAAGAGGGGTTCAGCTTGTTTGAAATGTTTTGGTTTTAACATTTTTAAATTCATTGTTGCATTTATATGATTATTTGAAATTTATTAAATTGTGAATTTCAGTTTTTGGTCTTTGTGAAAATATTAGTTCTAAATTTCCTTACTTTATGTCTTTACGATAATTTTTCAACAGCTTAGTGTTCAAAAATAACTAGGCATGCTTTATATTTGATTTTTCAAAAGAATTGTTTTGTAATTATATATATATATGTTACGGTGAAACACCGAAATATGGAGAATGTCGACTTTCACCGGTGAATGTCAACATTCACATAGTCTCTTGGTGTATGCCCGAAATATTTTCCAAATACTCTTATTTCTGACTTAACCGGTCAATGTCGACATTCACCATGTACTAATGGTGAATATTGAACATATAACAATATTATATTTTCTTCTCCGTTATTCAGTCGCGAATAAACGCACTCGACACTTGAAATAAGAACTTAAGAACACGAGAACCTAAAACACACAATACATTCAAAATGAGAAAGGAAAATAATAGAAGTTAAAAACTTACTTAATTATACAGTACGTTCTAAATGAAAAAATAAAATAACAGTTATAAAAAACTTACTAAATTATGTGATTCAAATCTTATTTATTGCAACAACTTAAACTATTATGGCACTTTATGACCTCTCTTTTCGACTTTCACCAGAGCATATCTGTGATTGTAGACATACACTGGTGGGGGTACGAATATACAAGAATGTAGTGCAATATTCGATCTTTCACCGACGTATTTGGTGAATGTTGACATTCTCCAATTTCGGTCTTTTACGGTAACATATATATAAATATATGAAACACTAGTTAAGTGAAAAAATGCCGGTAATTCACCTTATTTTCTATTTGCAGTGATGAAACGGAATGTCATCATGGGTTACCTTGATTTCCCTCCTATGGAATTAATGGGAATATGAGCCAATTTGTTTCACAAAGTCTTCCACGAAGGAGTCCTTCTCTTAAATTGTTTTCATAGTTAAATAATCGGAAGTAAGTGATTTTTTTTAATTAAGTACTGCTTTGAAATTTAGGTATCTAATGTTGTTTACATTACATTTTAAACAATTTAGTACTATTTTTATGAAAATGATTAAAATTTTGTGATACAAAAAAGTTTAGTTTCTTTCTAATTATGTTTTACATAATTAAATAACGAATTTTAAAGATTTATAATTATTTTATTTGGGAGAAGGTTATTAATATTACTGTAGTAATAATAAGAAATGAGATTATTGTTTAGAAATTTGAATTTTAGAATTTTAAATAATTTTAAGAATGCACTAAATGTGAAAAATGAATGAGTTAATTTTGAAAAACTGGTACAAAAAATGAATATAGAATTTTGTTTTGAATATAATGTAGAAAATATGTAATATTTAGGAAATTGACTATAGTTATGATGAATATAAAAGTACTAATAATTTTTAATAAAAAGAATAATTGCATGTAAAGATACAGCGTGTTGAGGGTTCAAAACAGAGGCCACGTTTTTACCCCCGTTATTTGTTTCTTTGCAAAATAAACTTTGAAGGCTCCCACCTTATTGCAGTTCAAATCTTAATCATTGTTCATATAGAATTACAAACGCTAGCTATATTTTCACGCAAGTTTGGTTTTACATAACTGCTGTAGAAATTCCATCAATAATACTATGTTACGTAGTTAATGAAAATCTGATGTGGACACAGCATGACTTCCTTGAATGACCTAATATACACCTTTTTGCTGCATTTATTTAAACTTATTTCCTCAAGTTTCATTAGAAGTATATTTTTCATTCAATTAATTCAGTTCTGAGTTCGAGATATGGAAAAAACACATACAAACTCGAAACATCTTCATTAAAAATTGTGAAATACAGAAAAACTTAATACATCAAATACAGTTAAAAATAATTTGTACAATTAAAATTAGAGTTTCTGCGCAAAAGCAAGCAATTTCGGCCAGCAGGCAAGAAGGCAGACTTTTTGGTGCACAAAATTGAAAGTTTACTTGTGGTCCCACTCGGAAAAAAGACACTGAAGGTGCAGAATCTAACTTAATTCACTGTTGTACTAAAGAGTTTCAAATCTAAACAAATGGCGGCTACGTTAGGGTTAGTAGCACTTAAACAACTTTTAAATTGTTGATAATTTTACAACTATTGCATGTAGCTTAACTAAAGGTATAAAAATTTTAACCGGAACATAAGAACAACATAACTGAATCTCTTTTAAAGCAAAAAATGCACAAATTAGAATAAAAAACTGAGCTCAACAAGCCGGGTAACAGAGTATATACACTGAAGTGACAAAAGTCATGGGATACCTCCTAATATTTTGTCGGTCCTCCTTTTGCCCGGCGAAGTGCAGCAACTCGACGTGGCATGGACTCAACAAGTCGTTTGGAAGTCCCCTGCAGGAATATTGAGCCATGCTGCCTCTATAGACGTCCATAATTGTGAAAGTATTGACGGTGCAGGTTTTGGGCACGAACTGACCTCTCGATGATGTCCCATAAATGTTCGATGGGATTCATGTCGGGCGATCTAGGTGGCCAGATCATTCGCTGGAATTGTCCAGAATGTTCTAACCAATCGCGAACAATTGTGGCCCGGTGACATGGCGCATTGTTATCCATAAAAATCCCATCGTTGTTTGAGTACGTGAAGTCCATGAATGGCTGTAAGTGATCTACAAGTAGCTGAAGGTATCCATTTCCAGTCAATGATCGGTTCAGTTGCACCAGAGGACCGAGTCCATGCCATATAAAAACAGCCGAGACCATTATGGAATCACCACCAGCTTGAATAGTGCCTTGTTGACAACTTGAGTCCATGGCTTCGTGGGGCTGCGCCACATTCGAACCCTACCATCAGCTCTTACCAACTGAAATCGTGACTCATCTGACCAAGCCACGGTTTTCCATTCGTTTATGGACCAACCGATATGCTCACGAGCCCACGAGAGTCGCTGCAGGCTATCAATTAAAGGCACTCGAGTAGTCGGTAGTCGTGCTATCAGTAAAGGCACTCGAGTCGGTCTTCTGCTGGCATAGCCCAAGGAAGACAAATTTCGCCGCACTGTCCTATCGGACACGTCCCTCGTACGTCCCACATTGATTTCTGTGGTTATTTACGCAGTGTTGCTTGTCTGTGAACATTGACAACTCTACGCAAACGTCGCTGGTCTCGGTTGTTAAGTGCAGGTGGTCGGCCACTGCGCTGTCCATGGTGGGATGTTATGCCTGAAATTAGATACTCTCGGCACACTCTTGACACTGTGGATCTCGGAATGTTGAATTCCCTAACGATATCCGAAATGGAATGACCCATGCGTCTAGCTCCAACTACCATTCCGCGTTCAAAGTCTGTTAATTCTCGTCGTGCGGCCATAATCACGTCAAAGCCTCTTCACATGAATAACTTGAACACAAATGAAAGCCCTGCCAAAGCACTTCGCATTTATACATTTTCTACGCGATACTACTGCCATCTGTATATTTGCATATTGCTATCTCATTACTTTTGTCACTTCAGTGTATATATCGATATATGTATATACATAAAACTTTACTAAGACTTTATCATTTTCTAACTTTACTAAGAACGTTTTTTGGCGGAAAACTTTCTTTATAACCGAATATTTTATACTCTATTTTTCAAATATAAAGTACCTTCCTTTTACCCACAGCGCTACCAAGCAGTAGAGCTGTATCAAGACAGTGTCAAGCAACAACATGTCCAAATCCACAGTTAACTTCTAGGAGGAAAAAAAAAAAAAAAAAAAAAAAGAAAATTGAACAAAAAAAATCTGAAAGTTTTCAGATTTTAAATTACGTCCAAAGGGGCGTTTTTTTTTAACATTTTGTGCGTTACCTTTATTTATTAAATATCATGTTCTTTGCAGTTAAAGCATGGAATTCAGTTCAAGAGCAATGTCGCAAAAATAATTTTAAAATGAGCCTATCTTTAGAATTACCGATACACAGTCTTGCGCGTTTGAGATAAAAATGTTTTTTTTTCCCCGTACAGTGTTGCCATTGCTCGTTTGAAATCGTTTCGAGTTTGTTAATCAAAAATTCGTTAAAGTTTTACAAAATATAAAATCGATAATAAAACAAATTCCTAATTTCAACTTTGGGTTTCCAGATGCCTCATATTCACAGTAGGATTACATCATTCAAAATTCGATGGCTCTATGAAGGTTTGTCACGTTCTTTAATCACAATGCGGAGAAAAATATGCATACATTTATGCAGATTTTTCATTATTTAATTTCCTAAAATATAATGCAGGACTCTAACATTTGGTGGCAACAGTTTGAGAAGTGAAAAGGACATGAACCAACTCAAAATCGCAAAACGAAAACAACAGTCCTTCAGGGACAAAGCCCCTTTGGACTAAGAAACGGGTAGGCCTGTACCCTTCACTCATTTATCTGTACTAAATCTCATGATGTATTGCCTATGGATTTTTTCGCTTTTAGGCTTATATAAAGCAGATTTCCAAACGAACGTACAACCCTCCTTCGACTTTGGCAAGCTGTTCGGGAGGAATGGGGTGAAATACCTCTTGAAAAGGGTTTTATTTTTATTGTCTCGGAAATTACTGTGTAGAAAGATAGTGAAAAATAAAGTTGAAGAATAAGGTTTTAAAATTTTAGGTAAAATATTTCGATAAATACATTGAAAATTCTCTGAAAACGTTCGATCACCCTCCGTAACTTGAAATTCTAGGCCATGACAGTACCGTTCAAATATTACGAACTTTAATTACTGATGGCGCGTGGTTGCACAGATATAAAATTTCAAACTCAGATCATTCTTCTTGAAATATCCTGCATTTATTGTACATAATTTCAAGTTCTTTGCTTTATGATTTCTTGTCTCTTTCGTACGAAATCTTAAACAGAATAGCAGAACAACCAGGTACAAGAGCATTAATGTCTGTCTGTAAATCGCAGTATTCGAGAAAATGGAATTCGAGATGGAGCAGAATAGTGCAGGACAACTTTTGGTCTTCCTGATGAGAGAGTAACGCTGTGTAATATGCAAAATCAGCAGCTTAACTGATCATCGCAATAAGGAATAGAAACCAGATCAAGATGATGTGTTTGAAAAGAGGTAAAATGACTATCTTCCACAATCCCTAATAGCTCCCTGACTTAAAATGCGATTATGTTTCACTTCCCTTTCACCGTCGGTAAGCTGAACTAAAAAGCTATAAAAATTTCCTCTACATAGCTATAATTTTTGCTACAGTGTGTGTGTATGATCTCAATTATTCTACGCTAGTGAATTAAGCTTATTTCTGCCTCCCATTCACCAGCGTGGTTAGCGACGCTGAACCACAAATGTTGATTTTGCATTTAGGAAATCTTTCAATACAATCTACATAACAACACTTAAAGCAAGCCCATATACCTCTACAATGTCATCTATTGTTCTGCTTACAAATAATAATAATAATATAATTTAAAACTGCTGAAATTATAGTTTTCTTTATAAGTAAATTATAGAATTTTTATCTATTCTCCTGTATATCATTTTGACCTTTATTTGTTTGTATAGCCAGTCAAACGGGATAGTGGTTAGTGACTTTGACTGCCGTACCGAAGGTCAGATTCGAATCCCGGAGAAGGCATATATATTTGTAAATGTATAGTGTCTGAGCGGCATGGGGCTAAATATACGGCGAAGCGAACGTACTCTCGAAAGGTTGAATGTAAGGAAAGGCAGTGGGAGACCCTCGCACCCGTGATGTTCTCCTTCAAAAGGCGAAGCTGAGCTGCCACCTGCAAGGCTCTTGCCAACGACAGGCGCAATATTGCCTCCTTACCCAATGAATTTCTTGCGCTTGCTGTGATATCAGACAAGCAAGAATCTTGCAACAACAGCAGCAGGTTATTTCTAATACCCTTGCTTTCTACTGTAAATGCTGCTTGCAATGTATGAAAGCAAATAATACACGCAGTCTTCCTTTGGGGACGTTGGGTTCCGTTGGGGAAGAAGATGGGGTTGAGATTCTGTGCCGAGTGCCGAAAGGTGGACTTCGGATTCTGGAATAATAAATATTTCATATATTTCGATAGTATTCTATGCCATGCCAAAACATAAGCGGGCAAAGTATAAAATAATCCTTTTAATGATGTTTCTAATCTCGTGTGATGTTTCTAAGCACTTAACTTTCGACTCCCATCCCAGATGGACTCCTTATGAAAATTTCTTATTTCTATCAAAAAAAAAAAAAAAAATCGATGTTAAAATTCTTCAGAATTCTTTAGAATTATGGCCCAGTGTTCTACAGGGTAAATCGGTTTTAAACTTTCAAGAAAGATAGAGTATACCTAGACGACGGAAAATCATATAGCAATTTGCAGGGTCGGAAATGCTTTCCTGGCGCGGTAGAGACAACACAAAACATAAGGAAAGAAGGACATGAACAGGGGGAGGAAACACGTTTATTATGCTTAGTGCAGCATAAATCAAGAAATAAGAACAAAAATAGACAACATCGTCATCAAAGAATGTATTCTAAATTACAACCCCGATCCCCGATGCAAGCATCTCCAGCACTTGGAACATCTGAAAATCTGGAAAACACCGGACATGTACCAGACTTTCCCAGCAGCTGCCACGATGCGTGTAACAAGTTCCTCAACACTTCTAAGGAGAGTTTCGTACACCAATGTCTTGAATAACCCCCCAGGGGAAGAAGTCAGTGCAAGTGAGGTCTGGAGATCTTACCGGCCAATCCACCGGACCAGCCTTGTCGATCTCATGTTGAGGATACGTTTCAAACGTAATTTCGAACACCTTCTTTGATGACGATCGTCTGTTTTTGTTTTTATTTCTTCGTTTCTGTTGAGATATTTTCTAATTGTATTCTTACTGGTTAAAAGGAAGTATAGCTTTCTGTCACGTCCGATACATACATTAGCTTTCAGTCAGGTCCGAATTTTTCTGAAACTGAATCCCATTCTTTATGTTATTTTTGATTGGTTGATTGGTTATTTATTGTGTCTTGTTTATTTGTTAAACCATGATCTGTTGTAAAGTTATATATATAACCTCTGTAAACTTTTTCACTCTCTGTTTACTTGTATTTCTCTGCATGTAACTCTGCGTGTATCTCTGCGCATTACTTAGTAATATATATTTGTTTTGCGAACCACGGCATTTTCTATGTTTAACAGTTTCCGCTGCACTAAGCATAATAAACATATATTATCACCTTGTTCGTGTCCTTCCTTTTTTGTGTTTTTGTGTCGTCATTACCATGCTAGGAAAGCTTTTCCGACCATTCTGTGTGTTTTTCTATCGTCTATCTCTCCTGAAAGTTAGTAACCGATTTGCTGAAACAACCTGTGGAACACTGGGCCATGATTCTAAAGAATTTTGAAGAAGTTTAACATCGGTTTTTTGTTGTTGTTGTGTAGAAATCTATAAGACATTTTCTTAAAGGCTCTTTTGGGATGGGAGTCGAAATTTGTGTGCTTTGCCACGCAAAATTAGAATCATTTGAAAGAGTATTTTATTTGTCTTTTGGTATTGCATAGAATGCTAAGGAAATGTGTGAAATATTGATCGTTCCAGAATCTGAAGTCCCTCTATAGAACTCCATACAATATTAGTTATAGTTTCAATGGATTTATACATAGAGATTCTATAGAGATACGCATGGATATTCCGTAGAGATTTATACAAAGACTTTGTAAGAATTTGTACAGAATTTCTGTAGGTCCCACATACATATAATCTTATATAATATGTATAGAATCAGCTAATAGAATTCTAGTCGAAATATTAGATTCATTTGACCATAATCAATTGGGCCATAATTCTAAAGAATTCTAACAGTTTTCTTGCGGTAATTTTCTACACAAATCCAAAGAAGACGGAGCTCTGTAAGGTTATAAGGTATTTCTCTTGTCTTCTTAGCGCGCCTTCATGGTGTAGTGGTCTGCAGGCTGGGCGCGTATTCCAGAGGTCCGTGGTTCGATTCCCGGCGAAGGCATTGCTCATTTTTCATTTTGCCTGATTCCGAAATAACCTAACGTCTCTACAAGCTTTTGGTCTGAAAATTAAATTATGCAGACATTACTAGACAATATTAGTGAGCTATGATCACCTCTGAAGCATTATGACTTAAGTCTTGAAAAGGCTCTAAATAACCTTTTTATTTAATCTGAACTTCTAATATAAAAGGCACGGCTTGTGCTGCAGACAAAAAAAGAACTTCTACTCGTTGTTAAATTAAATTAAGCAATACCAGTTAAATAAATTTAAACGTTGATAACGTGGCTGAAGACTGTACATTCAGTAACATAAGCTATAAGCTGGCTCAATTTATTTTTATTGGCGCGTAAGCTTGAAGTATCGTCTGCGATAGAATGCGAAAGCCAGAATAATCACTTTCAGATAGAGCTGGGTAATTTTAACTGCGCAGCGCGAGTGTTAGAAAATCTTTCGCTTTCTCTGTTTAAGATACAAAATTCTCATCTTATATACTCTAAAAACTAATTCGCATTCTGATGAGGAATTCGGATAGAAGAAGTTATAGTACAGATGAAAATCATAATAACTGGTTAATTAGCATAACAGCCTTACAAAGCTTTCCAGCATTTAAAAGCGTTACAAAATCAACAAAATTTTATTTTGGCATTGCAAGAAAGTTTTTTTGATTTGAAATTCCAGCATTAGAAAGTATAAATTAAATGTTCCTTTTGATTAGATGTTTTTTAACTTCTTCTAAAATTTGAAA